GTTTGAGTCTATTTTTATTTTTGTTTGATTTAAACTTTAGTTTATTTTTATAATTGGAGCCTGGCCTGGTCGGTGTTTGGGGGCGTTTGGGTAATAGCGGTTTACCCCAAACCGCCGTTTTTTTTGCAATAGCTGGTTGCTTCCGATCCGCCAAAATACAAACGCCCCCAAAGTTTGTCTAACTTTGAAAGTGGAAGAAATTTTCAACTTTTTACAGTGATTCAAGTCCGTATTTATGAGATTTTGTGTCTGATTAGTTGGTTCAAGAATCTTGAGTCATTTATTATCAACATTAGTTACGTATTATGTAATAATACTCCGTAATAAATACTTCCTCCGTCTCATTTTAGTTGCAACAGTATAAATTTCACGTTTGCCAACGCACAACTTTGATCGTCATTATATTTAATTCTGTATTAATAAAAATAAAATAAAAATTAGATTATAAAACTTAGTAATGAGACGAATTTAACAACATTTTTCAAAAAAAAAGTAATTCACATATATTAATAAATAAAATGTAGTCAAAGTAAAGTACATGAATAGTGTATATATTCCAATGTTGCAATTAATGAGATGCGGAGGATAGTACTTAGTAACACGTAACGTTTCACCACAAAATATAAGCATTTGCCATTAAAATTGTGTTGTCGGCCATAACCTACTTCGTAAATTAAAGTTTCACCACAAAATATTGTACTCTCGAATAAAAAAAAACTTTTCAATTGTACCGGTTAAAAATTACGAAGTGCTCGAGAAAGTAGGAAGTCGGAAGTAGAAGGTATATATCTTTCACATAACTAGTTGAAGATATTTTGCAACTTTTTTACTAACCATTAACTTTTACTCTTTTAGTTATTGAATAGATTTTAAAAGAAAAAAGGAATTGCAACGACATGTTTGATAAAAAAACAAGTGTTTGATTTAATTTTACTTGATATAACAAGTAAACAAACTATTGTGAAAAATTAATGCTTAGTGCACTCCTATTTGGTAAGGTCTACACCTCCCAGTTTTTTTTTGTACTATTTAAAAATTTCTTAAATCTTATAGTTGTACGTTTGACATGATAATATTCAAAAAAAAAATCAATAAAAGATTTTTTTGAGAGGCTACATTGAATAGCTTCCAAGAGATAGTTTTAGTTTTTAGCATTAATTAGTCACCACAAATTATTATATCAAAGAATAAATCCAACAATAAGCTTTTATCACAACCTTTTTATTTTAAGATCTTTCTAGTTGCATACAGCTAACATTTACTAAAAAGTTCTTAAAGTTATCTTTTCAGCTAGTTGTGTCAAACATAATATAAAAATTGTAGACTTTCTCCTACAAACTACTCAATGTAGCTTTTATAAAAGTTCTTTTATTTTCTTAAAAAGCTAGAAGACAATAACTTATGCTTACTAAAACATAAGTTTATTTCAATTTATTACTAATTAACATTCAAGATCACACCAACCACACTTAGCTTGTTAATTAGACATGCTCTTTTACGTGCCTATAATATTTTTAGTCAAAGGAGCTTGTGCATCCTTTGACATTAGAGTAGTATATGGTTGTGTAGTTTTACATGAATCCCTGAAACATCTTGTCTTGTCATTACTCTGGACATTATGAACCATACTAGTGGTTTCATACTAGCTAGTCTTGACTCTTGAGCATGTTCATCCAAGCCCTAGGTGTTAGAGATGAAACCATGCATCATTCATTCAACTATATATTTTTTATCAACAATGTGATGAATAGGATCAAACACTTTAGTTTTTAATATAAGATTGACATTAATCTCAGTTGGAGTGAAGTAATCTTCAATTAAAGTAATAAGATGGCATAAAATTGATTAAAAATGACAACCAAACTATTGATTATGCACCAAATCAGTTATGAGGGCGAATAAGATCTCAACTTAAACTTTACCAAGATTAAACGATTTTTTGGATTGAGCCCGAACCAATAATCTGTTCCAAAACCTCGATCAACCTAACATCTATATGATTCATCCAAAAAGATCGACCTAATTGATTCAAGATCACATTCATTCACTTACAAACTATTAGGAGCTTGAGCCGGACTACATTTCAAATCAAGTAAGTTAGAAGCATAGATTCGGTGAAAGAAGAAGAGAGAGGGTAATTTTGAACCCCTATGGCTCTATAAATCACTCCACCATCTCTCACGAAGATCTTTTACTCCCTCCGTCCCAAAAAGGTTCGCCAAATTGATTTTTCTTGGTCAACGACAATCAACTTTGACTAATAATACTCCCTTCGTTCCTAAAAATTCTTCCCGGTTTGACTTGGCACACTTATTAAGAAAGTGGAATAAAGTGGAAATGTATGGTTGTGGTTGTGTAAGAAAAAGGTAAAATGAATGTGAGCCACACAAATTGTCCAAAATGGGAAAGTGGGAAGTATTTTTGGGAACAACCCAAAAAGGAAAGTGGGAAGTATTTTTGGGAACGGATGGAGTATTTTTTAAGACGAAATTATTTTGAATTTGAAAATTATATAAAAATGTTCTTTATTCAAAATATCTTCGTAAAAATATAAAATTTATAAATTAAATACAAATATAATAATTAAAATCATTGTCCAAAGTTAGTAATCACTAATCAAGAAAAGTCAATATGTCGAACTTTTTAGGACGGAGGTAGGATTTTAATGTTTGTGTGTGGTAGCATGAGAGGATGAAAAGTATGTCTTGCTTTCCAATTGCTTGGTTTTGCAAATAATTGATGTCATTAATGTCAGGGAGAATATGAGATTACACCCCATATTTTGGTTGATATTTAATTTTACACCTCATTTTCAAAATCATTAATATATGCACTTCATCAGCCAAAAATTGTGAAGGAGTGAAGTGTAGAACCAAATAATTTTATAGTCAAATGGGTTGTGTATACATTACTAATTTTGAAAATAGGGTGTAAAGTCAAATATCATCCCCTCCTTAATGTTACGTTGTACGTAGTATTAATTAGTATACCACCCATTGTATTTGTTTCTTTGGAAGGCCAGTTAAGTAAAAAATTGTTGTTTCTTTGTGGGGCCGTAAATGTCATTTTAAAATCTTTTTAAAATATGGTGATGATAATTTATAAATTCAGTAATCAAACATCATGACGAAAACAAACAGATTTATATACGAAGAAAAAGAAAAGAAAAGTATTTCCACATTGAAATGTCAAAGCTGTTGTCTTCGGTATTCCTGCCCATATACAGGATAGAATTTGATTTGTTTAAAAATGATTTCTTATGCCGTGTGTGAGATGTGTCTGGTATGTAAGTGGGAACACATTGAGAACTGAGCAGTGCGTTATGGTCGAAATAAACAGCACATATCAGATGGAATCTTGACTGCTTTGGAATTCTTTTTATTCATCAAACTAAGGCACCTCCCTACCAATTAAAGGCACTGCCTTTTGTGTACTGCTGCGCGCATTCTCTGGGCTCAAGTTTTAACTCAATTGTGTTCCCACTTTCCAAAAACAAGGATCACAGTCCATCCCCTGAGGGCCCCTAACACCAGCCAGACAATTGACAGATAGCGAATGAGGCTCTGATCAGATGCTTGCAGAAGCCGTATACATTTTTACATGGTAACTTATTGTCGATTTGTCGTGATTTCAACCCGAGACTTAATTTTGTGACACTCTCTATCTACCAGTTGAGCTGAGCCCACTTGTTGTTCCCACTTCTCATGTTAGCCTTTGGATTAAACAAAAAGTTTGGCATATGGACAGCACTTCAGGCACTGTTGGATCACACTATGGTCACTACCCTACTTTTCACACCAATCCTTTTCTAGATAGAACACGGTACTATTTTGTACAAAAAAAAAAGAAACAAGCATATGTGATATGTCACTGTTAGATTTCCCAAAAAAATCAAAGGATCTATTCTTGAGGGGTGCAATCCAAGTGTGCCACGAGCAGGATGCTCTCCCTAGAGAAATCACCCTAGTCCCATTGAATATGTGATACACTTGAAGTCATAATAGCTTTATTCAATGCTGGATTATTTGATCAAATATGGCATATATCAAATCTGTACACGAGAGGGGTCCCACGACACGTGCCGGTGACACTTCCCATGATTAGGGTGCATGATATCGCGGTTTTGAGGGTAGTGTCGGGTCGGGCTGAGAAGATAAAGAACTAGACCAGTTACTCACTTACTCTTTTTACAGTTTAGGAACTGGCCCAAACCAATTTCACTTCCTGCAAAATATAGGCCCTAACCCGACCTTTTTCAGTTCTCAGTCTGTCTTTTTTTATGCTGAAAAATGATCTGGAATTGGAATCAGAATCTGGTCAAACTGTTTTTCAAAGGTAGCAGTGTAGCACAGACACTAGACCCGGAATGGGCCAGTCCATAACCGAACCTAAACCAACCCATCCCGACTCATAATCATTTCATTGATCTTCTCTTAATACTTTAATGACACACACACATATAAGTAATATAACTAAAAGAAAAGGGGAGGAAAAGAATGTAACCTCTTATACAAAGTGATTATATTAGTAACTTTTAGAATGTTTTTAATTGAACCGGTCTCACTCTCATACCAGACTAGGTCACACTAGACTTCGAAAGTCGTAAAATACATATAGAACAAACCTCTACCAAACCAAACCATGTCATTTTAGACCATACTAGATCATTTCATACCAGACTAGACTAGACTTGTACAGATCAGAAAATTTCAATCCAATTAAAAACATCCTTGGTACTATGGTTACATTCAATTATACATGTAGTGACCATGATGTCATACTAATTGCAATGCCAGTCACATTTTTCTCTATATTTTTATTTCAATAATGTTTTAAGGAAAAGGTCTACTTTAAATTGGTAGTTAAATGCATTTGATAACTCTCTCTTTTATTCTCTTATTTTCTATATCACATTCCAATTTGTTTTTTTTTTTTGCGGTTTGATAAAAATTTAGTGTTGCTCTTGAATGTGTATGTGTACTACTCTGTAGACCGTACTATTCAGTGTAATGTACTAGATAAAATGTTACAGTGAGAAAATTAACTTAAACTCCAGTCAAGCCTTAAAACCAGAAACGGCTCTTATAATTTGGGACAGACGGAACAGCCCTTATAATTTGGGACTGAAGGAACATTTGATAACAACATTTTCCCTCCAAAACCGAAGTATGTCAGCATAGGAACATTTATCGCCCACGATAAAGAGCTGCACTGAGTATCTTCTATTTTGAACCCATCAATTATGATGATTTCTTACTTTCAATACAAAATACCTCACCAGTACCTAAAGCCTTTCGGTGGTGGTGATATGTGAAAAGAGATGGAAGGTTTAAAACAAGGGTTTATTTCCATTAAGCATACCTAATAAGTGTTCCAAAACGCGACCTCCTGCATCTCTTAGGCCTGAGTGCATGTATTCGTTTGTAACCCACAGCCTAATCCCCTCTATCTCAGAAGCTGTCTCCACTGACAACTTGAAGTTGACATACATGTCTTCATAATAAACAGCTGCTGCGACGGGTACCTAAAGATTGAGAAGATACACATAACATTAAAATAAGTACATACCAATATTCTTCAGCTAGGACCCCCACAAAACATTGAAAATATTTGAAATTTCAGATATGTGAATTACTTTAATGGCTTTCAGAGAAAATCCTTTATTAGTTTGTCATGATTCTACTTTATTGAATGGTCAAATCTTAAACATGCTGACATTTAGGGAATAAAAATACCTTGTTTTTGTTCAATGTAGGAATGTCATAGAGTGGAGGCCAATCTTTCTTCTCTGCCAACAACTCAGCAACTTCTTTGAATGGCCTCAAGGCATGAATTTCATCAAATAACCAAGGAAATATCATCTGCATGTGTGAGCATGAAAAACGTAATTCCAGTACCAGTTTATGTACTTACCATTGCATAAAAAAATAATTATAAGAGACTGTAAATGCAACTTAAGAATTTTATGACCCAAGTCCAATTCGTCCCATTTTTTCCTTGGGGGTGAGTGCATTCTCACCTCTCCAGTGAAAAACACAGGGCGACCTTCTTTAGCCGCCATAATTGCATCAAATTTGCTCCCAGTTTCAGCTCTAGTTCTGTGAGCAGACCACTGTGATGCACTACCCTTCATTTTAAGCATGATTGACAAATTAGACCATAAACACACATCGTAGAAACTACAAAAAACTTTCCACATTATGAGCACAGATTTCTACAGAAACGTAAGAATTTACCTGGGAATATATAGGCTCGTGCAATATTGCATATAAAGGATTTGTATCGAATGTCAGCCATCTTTCATACTGCAATTGTTTAGAGCATACTCAACTTGTCTGCTGAAAAAGAAGTAAAACAGTGTGTGTGCACATCTCAAGGATCAAGTGTATTCCATTACAGCATTTAAGAAGCAGGAGCTGATTTTCCTTTTTGTTCCTGGAGCTATTATAGGATCCCAAACACGCTCAAACCTATTGGTCATTGTATAAATTTATAAAATAAAAACGGAGAGATTATATTTTGTACCACTGGACTGCCAAAGAAACAGCAAAGAAGGGTAATAATTACATGTAGTGCAAGCGTTCAAAACCAGTACTGGATCCTAAACCTGAGAGACCGAGCAATTGTATTCCTCTGGGTGTTAAAATGCCACCTGAAGGAAGGGGCACCTACAGTTCAGATATACAAAAAATCGGGAGAAACAAGCTAAATGAATTAATGAATGTCCATAAATGATTCAAATTATCATTATCAAAATAATATTCCACATTTAAAGTTTCCTCACCCCTCCTCCTTCATATTCTGCCAAGTGATTTACAGCATCTTGAACAATTTCAATATCCTGAGGAAACCTCTTGTAGTATTTTTCATTCTGAAGAATGAGTTGCTCAAAGCCTGCTTTGTATACACGGTAAGCGGTGCACCCATTTTGGATTGGAGGGAGTCCACCTGTTATTAGAACTTGTTTCAGTCCTTGTGGAGCAAAGCTCAGATAAGTGACTGCACAAAATCCCCCAAAGCTCTGAAAAAAATGTAATGAATTATCATTAACATGCTAAGAAGAACAACTCATATCAACACTGGAAGCTCATCTTAAAAACATCAATGAACTGTCATCATCACATATACTCCTGTCTGATGTCTATCTGTTGGTGAGTACCTCAGATATGCATGAAAAAGGTTCATAAAACAATTTATGAAGGACACTTAAGGAAACATTACCTGGCCTAAGACTGTCCAAGGTCCAGCATCAGGAACAATGCATTTTCGGATAAACTCGGCATCATATACTATGCTATCAGCTCGAAAGTGCTTCAAGTAATTGGCTAATTCTTCAGCAGAGTTCATTTGTGACATAGATGATGTTGTCAAGGGCGTGGATAAGCCTGTTCCCCGCTGCAAGTAAGCACATCGACAATTAAGTATATACTAGTTATATTTACAAGTAACTTTTGCATTTGTATCCGCGAAAGAGGAAAAGGGGAAGAAGGGCATGCCTGATCCATTAAAATCACACGAAATTCTTCACAAGCTTTACTTATCCATCCACTGGATTCAGTTAGCCGTGGACATTCAAACCCTGGACCACCTTGCAAGTAGACCAAATATGGTAGAGAAAATTCTTCCTTTCCAGCTTTTTTGTAGTTCATCAAATGCAAAGGAACAAAACTTTCACCAGTAATTATAGTTATAGTAGTAGTACTACTGCTAATAATAATAACAAGAATAATATTTTTTTGGAAAAATTGAAAATAATAATCCCAACTAATCAACTATTGCCGGTCCGCTAACAATAATATCAACTATTGATTATTTTTGTATAATTCCAATTTCCAACTATATGGACCGTCTGCCAATAATGGTCCATGACCGCATATTACTTGCTCTAACAAGTGAATTTTTAATAGAAATTAAGCGTAAAAATTAAAATTTGCGATTATTTATAGGGATTACCTGCTATATCTCTTTAGAAACTATAAGAATTTATTTATAGTCGGTCTCATCCGACCATTATTGGGGGAAACGGACCATTATTGGGGGAAGGTCCCTAAAGTTGGGATTATTCTGAAATAATAGATAGTTGGGATTATTATGAGCGGACCCCCAATAGTTGAGATTTTACGATCAATTTTTCCTACTTTTTTAACCAATAAACATAGTACTCCGTATTTCCTGATATACTGAAATGATCAACCGGAACACCGTTTTGAGTCAGGGCCGGTCCTGCTCATTTTTGGGCCTATGGGCGGTACGCTATTCTGGGCCTATGTCCAAGACAAATCGTAAACCATATACTTATTTGAAATATGAATTATAATAGAAGTATCCAATGAAGTTCATAAAATAAAAAAGAGAATCATTTTATTATTATTTAAGTTACATATTTGGACAAAAGTAACAACACGAGTATCGGATAAATTAACTCTTTTGAAAGGATAAAAGAAAAAAAAATGTTACTCTCTCCGTCCCAAAAAGGTTCGACAAATTGACTTTTCTTGGTCAATGACAATTTGACAAATAATATGTTTTAATACGAATTTTTTTTGAATATGAAAATTATATCAAAATGTACCTTATTCAATATATTTTCATAAAAGTATAAAATTCATAAATTATATACAAATATAATAATTAAAATCATTGTCCAAAATTTCTTATCATTGACCAAGAAAAGTCAATATGACGAACCTTTTTGGGAAGGAGGTAGTACTACATATTGAATTCATAAGTAATGATTTATTGACCGCTGATGGAAACAAATAAATAATTGGGATGAGATTTGAGAGAGATAGGCTCTAAAATAATTATATAAAGGTTTTATGTTATAATAAAAATGAATAAAAAGCCTTAAAGGCTAAAGAGATGTAAGACTAAAGAGGAGTGTCTTTTATTGATGCATAAACAATTGTATTGATTTTAAAAACTACAACCGATCCTACTTAAAATTAATGTATATATTCTTTTTTAGTTTGGCTTTGTTTAAGACTTTTTATTTATATTTTAAATTTTCAAATTGTCAACAAAATTAGGCATTAGTCTAATTAATTGAACTTAAGAAAAAAAAAGTACTCAAAAAAATTTTGGGCCTATTTTTTCTATTTTTTTCGGGCCTAGGGCTGTAGCCCCCCTCAGAACCGGCCCTGTTTTGAGTTCGTATATCGCACATAGATAACTCAGTCCAAGTGTACCACCATAATCAGGAAAATCATGTATGATACGGAGTATGGAATACGTAACTGAAATAGTCGCGAGAGGCATATACCAGCAACGACCTCGCGAGCAAAAATAGAGATGGTAGGGGAAGCACAGGAATCTCTTGAATGGTCGAGAGGAACGGTGAATCTGTGGTCGCGAAGCCTGAGTTCCGGCACGGAAAACCAAACACCGACGATGTGCTCCGGAGAATCCTCGCCGGCGGCGACTGTGGAGTTGCTGAGGTTCATGGCTGTTGTAAACTAGCAATTGTTGATACGTCAGAGCTATAAAAGTTTATTGATTGAGAATCTTGAGAAAGTCTTCTACAATATAATAGTGTCTGAATTTGGTGGTGTTTGCAACATTTTTTTTGAAAGGAGAGTTTGCAACAAATTAAAAAAAAAAACTTTAGTATTTAAATTCTGAATTTTGGCTTTAAAAAAAATGAAATTAGTATTTTTGACAGAATCTACTTAAATTAAGTATTGAAAAACTAAAAGTCTTAAGCAGGTTGATGAGTGCTTTAAACTGTTTTTCATTTTTTCTATTACACAAAAAATACTTATTTTATCAAACACTGTAAACTTTTACTTTTTTTAAATCAATTTTTTAGTAGTCACTTTTCCCAAAACCACTTTAAAAATCACTTTTTTAAAGTAGAATCAATCACATACACAAACTACTGAATAATAAGACCCAACAAGAGATGTGTAAAGTAAAAACCCTAGCAGAGTCATGATGTGGCGGCCATCGTAGGAGGCTCGCGGTGCCTTACGCGGCTGAATAGTTTGATCGCGTTGAGAGGGTGACCAGGTGGGGTGCAGACGTAGCTCATTTTGATTGGATTCGGCGAGGCGCGGGAGTATACATCCCTAAGGTGCGGCCGTCTGTAGGCTATTCCTAGGAGTTTTTCCGGTAGTGGCTCCGGTCACCTGGCTCGGCTTGTCGTTACGGCCGCCTCCCTAGTGATTAGGGTTTTCGGGCACCCTTTGCTGCATGGATATATAACCGAGGGCCCAAAATATTTAGGACTTAGAAAATATTTCTAAGTGTAGTTTCACCAAGCCTTCAACCGTGTGGTCCCTCTGGCTGCATGGAGATTTGACCGAGGGTCAAAAATATTTAGGACTTAGAAAATATTTCTAAGTGTAGTTGTATGAGGTAGGAGCCTTCGGGTGAAATGTGAGAGCCTTGTAGTAGGTGTACCCTCGGTTGACCGGTGACTCGACAGAGGGCAAAGTACTTAGGACTTAGAAAATTTTTCTAAGTATTTCCTGTTGCTGGCCTTCGGTCGGGGACCCTTCGGTTGCATACTTTGTGGGCCTAGAACGATTTCCTTTGTCTCGCAAGGTTGGCCTGTGGCAACAGAAGTCTTCGGCTGTTGTCATGTCCCCACAACGTTGACTTAGGAAATTTTGTAGTTCAAGTGCAGCACCAAAAAGGCCGACTCCCTCGGACAATGCCTGTTTGTATCCCCTCATCGTCTAGTGAGGTGCCAGAGGTGATTCTTGCTTGGATTTGGCCAACATCTGATAGCTTTGCTGTATAGTAGCCTTCGGGGACGTTTTGAGTTATTGTTGAGTGAGCCTGTCACGTTCTGTAGGATTTGAGCCTTCGGTTTTGATGTAGCCGGAGGCAATCAAGGAGTGGACATAGCCATTTGTTGATGATGTTTGTTGAATAGTATCTTTGGTAATTAGGAGCTTCCAGGTACCGAAGGTGTTCCCGTGGGGAGCCCTCGGTATGTTTCCGTGAATTGTTGGAGTGATGTACTCATTGATTTCTCACTGAGTCTACTCCCCTTCACCACCCCATTTTTTTTGTAGTGAAGGGAAGGCTTCAAGAAACTTGGTTTCTTGGTAAGGCTTGGCCTATCGGGAGGTAACAGAATACACCATTAGCTCCCCCTCGGGTTGACCTTCTGAGTTCCGAGGGGATCGAGGGTCGTTTCCTGGGCACAAGACATGGTCTGTAGCCTGCCTCCCCTTGGGGGATGGCACGGAAAGCGCCTCAGTTTTGAAAGTCGTCCCCTCGGCGCCAGACATAGTTCGTGGCCTGCCACACCCTTGGGGTAGTGGCGCGGGGAGTGTTTCGATTTGGAAGTCGAATCCTGGGCATATTAGATGCCTGCCAATCCCTTGGGGAAATGGCGCGGAAAGCGTTCCGTTTTTGAAAGTCGAATCCTGGGCATATTACTTGTCTGTCATACCCTTGGGGTAATGACGCGGAAAGCGTTTCAGGGAAGGGTTTTCATTTGCACACTGGTTGCAAATGGCCGGGGGCACTACGTGCCTCCGACACCGATAGGTGGCGCCTTCGGTATATGCGTCCTCGAGGGGTACGGCTTTAGAAACAACACTTGGTATTTGTTCCGGTGAATGCCCCCCAATACTTGGTACCGAGGGGTCTTGTTTGAAAACACTTGGTGTTTTTCTTCATTTGTCGCAGGTGATTGGGGTGTCTACCCTCGGTACTTGGTACCGAGGGGTCTTCTGTGAAAACACTTGGTGTTTTCTTCCGTTTGTTGAAAGTTGACAGTGGTGTATTCCCCTGGCATTGGGTGCCGAGGGGTCTTCATTGAAGACAGTTGGTACTTTCTTCCTTGTTGCAGGTGATAGTATTGTCTACCCTCGGCACTTGGTGCCGAGGGTTCTTCCTTGTGATAAGGCCTTGGGCCAGGGGGTGATATGAGGGTTTGGCCACTCGTAAGAGTCTTGTTCCATGTTCTGGGTGTCTTCAATATGCCTTCATTCTTCAAAATTTTTAGGCCTTGGGCCGCAAAATAATACATTCACTAGTTATGAGGGCTTGGCCGCTCTGATGTTATTGGTAAAAATTTAACTAAGTGATGTACATTCCAGTGTCTAGGGACTTCAGTCCCATTGGGGCGTTTTAGTTTGTAAGTTCCTGGTTTGATGATGGCCGGCTGGCCGCCACGATGTAGGGGCCCTCGAACTTTAGTGCCATCTTTCCGCCCTCGGTTGGTTGGCTAGCTTCCCTTCTTCGGAGGACATAATCCCCCACTTGGAATTCCCGGGAGCGGACTTTGGCGTCAATGTAACTCTTCACTTGCCTTCGGTAGTTTTTTGCACGTATGAAGGCTTGCTCTCGGCGTTCTGAAATAAGGTGGAGGTCGAGGGCCATATTGGCGTCGTTGGCCTCTGGATCATATTGTGTGACCCTTCGGGTTGGAAGAGTTACCTCAGTGGGGGCCTTAGCTTCAAATCCGTAGCAAAGGGAGAAGGGTGTCTCGCCAGTTGCCCGCCGAGGGGTGGTACGGTAGACCCATAAGATGTTGTGGAGCTCTTCTACCCAACCACCCCCTTCGGCCTCCAGTTTCTTCTTTAGGCCCTCGAGCAAGGTCCTGTTGGCGTTCTCCACTTGACCGTTGCCCTGAGGGTAGGCAACGGATGAGAAGGTGTGTTTGATGCCCCATGCCTCCAGGAGGGCACAGAAGGGGGCTACCTCAAACTGAGTCCCATTGTCGGAGATGATTTGCTGGGGAACGCCAAACCTTGTGAGGATGTTCTTGAGAACAAAATGACGACACATGGCCTCAGTAATGCTGGCGAGGGGCTCAGCTTCCACCCATTTGGTGAAGTAGTCGATGGCGACGATGATGTACCTGTTGTTGGAGGTACCCCTCGGCAGAGGGCCCAAAAGGTCTATGCCTCATCGAGCGAAGGGTATGGATGTGCTGATGGGGGCATAGTTGACCGCTGGTCTGCTGGGGGCTTTCTGGAAGTGTTGACATGCGGAACACCTTCGGGCGAGATCTGCACAATCCCGGGCCATCGTAGGCCAAAAGTAGCCCTGGATTATTAGCCTTCGGGACATGGAGAAGGGTCCCTGGTGAGCTGAACAAGTGCCACTGTGCACTTCCTCCATCGCAACTTCGGCTTCATCTTGATGAAGGCACCGAAGTAATGTCCCGTTGTAGGACCTTTTGTAAAGCCTCCCGTCTTCGATAGTGTGGCTAGGAGCCCTCAGCTTTGCGAGCTTGGCGCGGGCCTCATCCTCGGGCAGTTGCCCTGTGGTGATGAAGGCGACAATGTCTGAGATCCAGTCATCTTGCCTTTGTTGTATGTGCATGATGGGGCTAGCATGTATGCTAGAGAGGCTGAGCTCTTCCACTTTGGCAATCTTTGAGATATGTTCAGGGGATTCGGCCGAGAGCTTGGATAAAATGTCGGCCTCGGAGTTTTGAGCCCTCGGTATTTGAGTAAGAGAGTGTGCCTCAAATACCTTAAGCAACTCATTGGCCGCTTCTTTGTACTGCTTCATTCTCCCTTCCTTGGCTTTGTACTCCCCGGAAATTTGGCCGACAACTAATTTGGAGTCGCATCTGACGTGGATGTGTCGGGCCTTCATGTTAGCTGCCAGCCGAAGGCCACAGAGGAGGGCCTCGTATTCGGCTTCATTGTTAGAGACTTTGAAGGAGAAGCGGACTGCGTAATAGGCCCGGAAGCCTTCGGGTGAGATGAGAACCACCCCTCCTCCACATGCTTTGACGGCGGAGGAGCCATCGGTGTAGAGGGTCCACCAATCATCCAAGGGGCCCGAGGGCTCCTCGTCCATGGCTGATCTTGCCGTACATTCCGTCACGAAGTCCGCCAGGGCTTGGCCCTTGATGGCGGGCCTAGGATGGATGTCGATGTTGTATTGGCTCAGGAAGACAGTCTATTTTACCATTCGGGAGGAGCTGGTGGGGCTCCTCATCAAAGCGTCGAGGGGTTGGTGAATGAGGACCTGGACCGGGTGAGCCTGGAAGTAATGGCCCAACTTCTTGATGGTCCACACGATAGCCAACATCGTTTTTTCCACAAGGGAGTATTGGAGCTCTGCTTCCCTGATGGTCTTGCTAACATAGAAGATGGCATGTTGGATGTCATCCTCTTCCCGGATGAGTACTGAGCTGATGGCTGTCGGGCTAACACCCAGGTAAAGGTATAGGATCTCCTCTACCTTGGGTTTAGAGAGCACAAGGGGTGAAGATAAGTACCGTTTCAGTTCCTCGAAGGCCCCATGACACTCTGAAGTCCACTGGAAACCGGCGGTTTTTCTCATGATCTGGAAGAAGGGTAAGGACTTCTCCGCCGATTATGATAAGAAGCGATTGAGGGCTGCCAGGCGGCCCGTCAATCGTTGGACCTCCTTTACGTTGCGTGGGGGCTCCATGTTGATGATGGCCTGGATCTTCTCGGGGTTGGCCTCGATACCCCTTTGGCTCACCATGTAGCCTAAGAATTTGCCCCCTTGTACACCGAAGGTACACTTCTTCGGGTTTAGCCGAAGGTTGAACTTCTGCATGATGGCGAAGATCTCCCTCAGGTCGTCAGCATGGCTTGCTGATTGCTTGGTTTTGATTATCATGTCGTCA